TTTAGGCTTCAAAGGAAACTTATGAGCCGTGTAGGGGTGGTGTAGCCCCAGGCGGAGACGCAAAGAAATATATAATCTTTCTTCAAAGGATAAAACATTGTATCTTTTATATAGTTTTATATTGATGATTCAAACAGTCGTATATTATATATATATATATATATATATATATATATATATATATATATATATATATATATATATATATATATATATATATATATATATATATTATATATATATATATATACAGGGTTATATGTATGAGTGTGTGTGGAGAGGGGGGGGGAGGGGTCATAATCCTCAGTAAGTGCTGTAACAGTTGTGCTCCAGCCCGGTGTTCATCTCTACAATATGGCACCAAAATATTGTGGTTTACCCGCGTCGCTTCACACAGCCCACCACCACCTCCCTCACCCAATCTCTCTACCTACTTACCAGTCTTTCCCTCACACCATCTATCATCCATTTCTGGATTATATACTTATTTTACCACTATTTATATCCCTGTTTCCTCAGTGTATTTATACCAGCTTCCCAAAACCTGACTGTCACCTTCCTTTTTAATTCCCCATTCGCTCTCACATTTCCTCCTTATTCTTGTGTTTATCATTCCTTTATCTATTTACTCAAACACATCATTTCAGTCGCTTCATAGACACTCTTTTATGTTAACCTGTCATATACTAGTTACCAGATCCGTTAACACTACCATCTTACAAATACCTTTCAATAGAATTCCTTAACACACACGCACACACACACACACACAGTGTTACCCTCGAACCATTAGAACAAAACACAGCTTTCCTTTGAGTTAAAACTTCAGGTCTATACACGGTCGGTGACGCTGTCGTCGACAAGAGGGATGGCGAAGGAGAGTTAAAAAATGACCGTAAAATCTGAACCAGACAGATAAACGACAACCAATGTAAGTAGCTCGCCTGAACGACCCCACCTCCTCAAATATAAAACTCAACTCTTGAAAGAAAACCACAAACCTGTATTATTATTATTATTATTAATATTAATATTAATATTAATATTAATATTAATATTAATACTATTACTATTACTATTAATATTAATATTATTATTATTATTAATTAATATTATTATTATCATTATCATTATCATTATCATTATCATTATCATTATTATTATTATTATTGATATTGATATTGATAATATTAATATTAATATATTAATAATATTAATATTAATATTAATATTAATATTAATATTAATATTAATAATACTAATATTAATAATATTAATATTAATATTAATATTATTAATATTAATATTAATGTTAATATTAATATTAATATTAATATTAATATTAATATTAATATTAATATTAATATTATTAATATTAATATTAATATTAATATTATTAATATTAATATTAATATTATAAATATTAATATTAATAATATTAATATTAATATTATTATTATTATTAATATTATTATTATTATTAATATTATTATTATTAATATTATTATTATCATTATCATTATCATTATTATTATTAATATTAATATTAATATTATTATTATCATTATCATTATTATTATTATTATTATTATTATTGTTATTATTGTTAATATACAGTATTATTATTATTATAAAGTATTATTATTATTATTATTATTATTATTATTATTATTATTATTATTATTCAGTATTACCCCTAAAAAACTCCAATAAACATTACTTCACAACACTCGCAGAAATTGCGAAGTGTGAACAAGGTCCCATCCCTTCAACACTTCCCTGAATGTTCTTCATTTGGTTGGATGGTTGAAAATCCTATTCAAGAAAATGAACTGGTGACATTTTCAACTCGTATCTCGTCTTCGTAATGAACATGGAAAAAGGACACACACAAAAACTCTAATTTAAATTAAACTTCTTGAGTGAACATTTCCTCCGCCAGAGAAGGTAGAAGTGAGGTAGGTAAGGTAGAATGAAGTGAGGTGTGGTAGAATGAAGTGAGGTGAGGTAGAATGAAGTGAGGTGAAGTAGAATGGAGTGAGTTAAGGTAGAATGAAATGAATTAAGGTGGAATGAAGTGAGGGAAGGTAGAATGAAGGAAGTTAAAGTAGAATGAAATTAAGGTAGACCGAAATGAGGTGAGGTAAAATGAAGTGAGGTGAGGCAGAATGAAGTGAGGTGAGGTAGAATGAAGTGAGTTAAGGTAGAATGTCCACTATGATGAATCTGATGTCCACAGGTTTTCATAGGACATGTGTTTGGAAATAAGTCCCAACAATCACCTACCTAAACCAGGTAAATTATACGCGACAGTTTTAATAGATAGGTTAGGCTAGGCTAGGTTAGGTTAGGTTAGGTGAGGTTAGGAAGGAAAACTAACAAGACAAAGCTTACTGCACTAGACCAACAACAGGAAAGACGATTAAATATGTCACAAGCAGAATAAATTAATGTATGATTTATAATTCCCAGTATAACGAGACTTTTATTACTGTACTTCAACAACACCATCCTGGGAATCATAACACACACAGATAAAGGTCTTTAACACGCTTTATCGTCTTTTCAATACAGGTTAACGCAGGACCAGAACACACTGACACCCCGACTTCTTTTTTCCCAGTTGGTAACATTTGAATGACATTAATTTCCTGAATCTATCCCTGCACCTAACTCTCTCTCTCTCTCTCACAACCACTGTCAACACACACAGTTTCTCTTTGTCCATCGTCCTCTCCCCCCTCATTCAACCTTCACTGTAGGTGTGTATAGATGAACCATTAATTATATCAGTTATTTTTTTCTTTATATGTATCTCGGATCAAGGACGTGGATAGAGAGATATGGTATGAGGGAGAGTGAGAATAGGAGGAGAATAAGAAAGAGAGAGGAATGAATATAAAGAGAATGGGGAGATGATTCGCTGGTACAGGTGAGGTGCGGCTTAACAACCTCACCTGTTTTAACACCAGAGGAATGTTTCTCGTGGAGGTGGACAACTGGACGGGTTTGCTATGGACAGAGGCAAGTTAGGAGATGCCTTATTAAAATATACGTAATAAAAGTTCTTACAATAACTATAATTAAAGACTAGATGATTGAAACTTTACATTTTACTGTGATATCACCATGAATTTTTTCTGAGTTTTAACGAATAAATCATGACATTCAGAAGACAAATTGCTCTTTGATCCGTTGCTTAAATATCCGAATGTGTTCACAAAGTGGGAAACAATGATCGTCCAAATTGTTGATAATTTTGCTGCAAATGCAAGAAATTTGCATGTCAAACGAGAGAGAATGAAAGTTTAATTGGAGACGCTGCGCTGGTGACAATCACTGTCATTGAAATGTTAATTTACCTTTGCTTTACGGCGGGCAGAAGTCGTAATTAACATTGTGAACACTAAATCAACATGAAGGTTGGAGGACAGAAAGAGGCAGAGGGAAAGAGAGAAAAAGATGGAGAGACAAAGGAAATTTATACATATTTATTTCTTCTTTTCTGTGAATAAAAAAAAAAGCATTTGGACATTCCTTAGTATTTAGTAACGGAATATTATTACCTCCTCATTGTTTCTTTGTGTCAGGCTTAATGTTTCTTTTGACTCAGATACGAGCGATGAAAACAGCTTATCGGTCAGGGACGTGCACTGACACCTCTCTGCCTCTATACTGAATATCTTCCCCGGTGAAGCTGGACGTTTGGCGGTGTTCTGCAGGACAGCTATTTAATGACGTCGGGGGAGGTGCTACACGTGGGGGAGGTGCTACACGTGGGGGAGGTGTTACACGTGCGGGATACACGTGGATGATACACATGGGGGGTACTCGAGGTGAGGGAGGTTATCTGCTGACACTGTAACTTACATTGACTACTATCAGGTTCGGGTTCACGAACTCTTAGGCAGGTACACTGAAGTTAAGGATCTACAGTATTCCTACACTGCCGCCATACATTAAATCTCAGAGCTAAGAGAAACAACACACTTAGGGAACTGGACAGAAAGTGCAAGAGGCAATAAGAACGGAAGGTGAGTAGTGAAGTAAAGTACAGGGGAATATAGTGTATGTGAAGGTTATTGGTGAACTGTAACGGAGTGGTAAGTGGCTTAAAGAAGAACACACACACACACTGTAGTAACACCTTGAAGACTAACCCGTCGTCAGCTACAGTGTTTCTTAGCAGCAGGTCTTCACATCAAGAGTATTACCTTTATATTATCGCAATTGATATCCACTCTTAACCCCAACCCGGAGGAATAAAACAAAAGAACTAAGTTAATAATAATAATAATAATAATAATAATAATAATAATAATAATAATAATAATAATAATAATAATAGTTTGGTATATTAAAAAAAAATAGATGAAAAAACTCGGTAAAGTTTTAGCCCTGAACTCTCCATATCTGTATATCATATCACACACTCCCGCGGTCGCTGCCTCAGACAGCTCCTCTTAGGCGAAAATTGGTTTGGTCTGGTGCAGCTCAGCCAACACGGTCACCATAGAAATCTATGTCCGTATCTTCACATCTTTTCCATCCATACATGTTTCTATAATACTTCCTTTTATTACTATTTTTGCGCTTTATAAACAGTATTTTTTTGTCAGACTTGACTTTATTTCGCGTTTGTGGACAGATAAAATCGTTGGTGTAAGTATATTTGTATGTCAGGTTATACAGGATGCTCATCTCGAGAATATATTTCTTGCTGAGGCTACCAAGTGTCTCCTCTATGTTTATTTTAAGCTGTAACTGGTGGCACTATTTCTACCTGATATAAACAAAGAAAAAGTGTTGAAGCTTTTTGTTGGTGTGTGTGTGTGTGTGTGTGTGTGTGTGTGTGTGTGTGTGTGTGTGTGTGTGCCACCGTCCTTCCAATACTACACAGCGGTAACTCATGAATGTAAACGAGTGACCACCAACACCATACAGAGGAGAGAGGATACTAACCGTAATACTATGATCAACATTATACAAAACACGATCAGACCAGTTACATATTCACCCCAAGACCGCTACCACCAGACGATATCTTCACCCCCAAGACCGCTACCACCAGACGATATCTTCACCCCCAAGACCGCTACCACCAGACGATATCTTCACCCCCAAGACCGCTACCACCAGACGATATCTTCACCCCCAAGACCGCTACCACCAGACGATATCTTCATCCCAAGACCGCTACCGCAGACGTATCTTCACCCCAAAGACCGCTACCACCAGACGATATCTTCATCCCCAAGACCGCTACCACCAGACGATATCTTCACCCCAAGACCGCTACCACCAGACGATATCTTCATCCCCAAGACCGCTACCAGACGATATCTTCTCACAAGACCGCTACCACCAGACGATATCTTCACCCCCAAGACCGCTACCACCAGACTGATATCTTGCACCCCAAGACCACTACCGCAGACGATATCTTCACCCCCCAACACCGCTACCACCAGACGATATCTTCACCCCCAGACCGCTACCACCAGACGATATCTTCACCCCAGACCGCTACCGCAGACGATATCTTCCTGCCCCAAGACCGCTACCGCAGACGATATCTTCACCCCGGGGCCGCTACCACCAGACGATATCTTCACCCCAAGACCGCTACCACCAGACGATATCTTCACCCCAAGACCGCTACCGCAGACGATATCTTCATCCCCAAGACCGCTACCACCAGACGATATCTTCACCCCAGACCGCTACCACCAGACGATATCTTTCATCTAAGACCGCTACCACCAGACGATATCTTCATCCCCAAGACCGCTACCACCAGACGATATCTTCACCCCAGACCGCTACTCAGACGATATTCACCCCAAGACCGCTACCACCAGACGATATCTTCACCCCAAGACCGCTACCACCAGACGATATCTTCACCGCCTACCACCAGACGATATCTTCGATATCTTCCCCCAAGACCGCTACCACCAGACGATATCTTCACCCCCAAGACCGCTACCACCAGACGATATCTTCACCCCCAAGACCGCTACCACCAGACGATATCTTCACCCCCAAGACCGCTACCACCAGACGACATTAACCATAGATACAAAATTCTAATAAAATGCAGATCATTATGTTCTGCAGATGAATATATACTACATAATGAAGGACAAATCAGTGTATAATGTGTATTGAAAGTGTTGTGATACGGACCTGACCAAACTAATCTCGGGTAGGTCGGCCCGGACTCAGCGGGCGGACAATATCCCGGGTGTGAAGGATGACCAGCCGTGCGTTTGAACACCTCTCAATACCGCGCTCGGCCCTCCCTCATGACCCGCTCGTTCACGTTATTTGCGGCCGTGTCACACATTACGGCGCCTTTGTCTGGTGTGATCTATGACCTCACGTAGCAGGAGATAAGTTTTGCCGGCGGCTTTACAGTTGAAACTAAATTATTATTAAATGTATTAAAAGGCTCGAGAAGGATGTTATAGTCTTATAGTTGGGTAAGTTGTGATAACTATTACGTATTTTTGTGTGAATTTCAGGGTTTCTTTATTCTATGTCTACTCGAAAGAAAACACACACACACACACACACACACACACACACACACACACACACACACACACACACACACACACACACACACACACACACACACACACACACACACACACACACACACACACACACTACTACTACTACTACTACTACTTTGCTGTCACTCGGAATCGAGTATGACGATTATCCAGCTATGATACAATGATATGAGTTATTAGGGAGTCACCTAGGTTGGTGAGTTATGAGGTGACTAAAGAGGCCGATACAGGACCGGCAGTGTCGTCCACATTCGTTGCACATGTGGAGGGCTGCATCTAGTGCGGGAGGGGCGGTAGCAGCGTCTTTCCGGCGTTGGCGCTTGTCTGCCTCGGTTTGCAGTCGGGCTAACTCGAAAGTATTGACACCTTCTCTCGTGGTGCTCCTCCAAGCGTTATGATGTGGAGTAACCGACTCCCAGGTGAGGGGGTCGATTTGGCACTTTTTCAGGTTTGTCTTAAGACTATCGTTATACCTTTTCAGTTGCCCGCCGGCGTTACGTTTACTATTCGTTAGGTGACTGTAAAGTAGCTGCTTTGGCAGTCTACTGTCGTCCATGCGGGTAACATGGCCAGTCCGGCGTAGCTATTCAAGGATAATGGTAGCCCCGATGCTCCTACAGTGGGTGTCAGCAAGAATACTGGCATTTGTTCTCTTGTCTTCCCAGCAAATTCGGAAGAAACGTAGACTACGTTGGTTAAAGTTTATAAGTGTCTTTGGGTTCTTCCTGTATGTGGCCCATGTCTCACTGCCATATAGCAGAGTGAGGAGGACCACTGCTCGATATACGTGCAGCTTTGTGGCTAATTTCAGTTCCCTACAGCTGAAGAAACGATTTCGGAGTCCGCCAAAAGCTTGAGATGCACATCTGATCAGGTGCTGAATCTCTTCATCGATGTCTGCGGTGGTGAACAGGTGGGAGCCGAGACACCGAAAGTGGGCAACATTAGAGAGGATAATACCGTTAAGCTGGATGGATGGTGGAGGTGTGTCTGAACCTGGGGCAGTTTGAAGGAGAATCTGAGTCTTACGTACATTCACCTCAAGGCCGAAGTGTGCATACGCATCTGCGTAGGTGTTTAGGATCTCCTGTAGGTCGTGTTCAGTGTGAGCAACAAGGGTGAGGTCGTCTGCATACTGAAGCTCAGTAATGGAAGCTGCCGACACCTTTGTTCTTGCCTGGAGTCGTCTTATGTTGAGCAGTTTCCACTTCACCCGGTACTCGACGTCCACCCGCCGGCTAAATTGGCACTGGCACGAGTAAGGAAGGCAGCCAAGAAAATGGAAAAGAGAGTTGGTGTCGGTACACACCCTTGTTTAACCCCTGCTTGGATGGGGAAGAAATCAAACTGGGTGCCGTTGTGCAGGACACTGCCGTTCATGCCATCGTGAGTTGTCTCATACTGGCGATGAATTTTTGGTGGGCAGCCAAAACGGCTGAGAGTCCACCAAAGTGCTTCCCTGTTGACCGAGTCGAAGGGCTTGGTTAGGTAGATGGAAGGAGTCTGTTTAGGAGGACTCGGGCGATAATCTTGCCAGCTACGGAGAGCAGTGAGATCCCACGGTAGTTGCTACAGTCTGACCGGTCTCCCTTGTTCTTATAGATATTGACAATGGAGGCGTTCTTTAAGAGCTTGGGGGATTTCCTCTTTTTCCTATATATTCTCCGGAGAGAGTGGAGACGGCTGGTAAGCAGAGGTTCTCCTGCTTTATACTATACACCTCGGCTGGGATTCCATCAGGCACTGAGGCTTTGTTATTTTTCATCTGTTTGATGGCAGTAGCTACCTCATCCAGGGATGGAGGATAGCTGAGGTGGGTCAGCTCTGGATGCTGAGGGACCTTTGGGTAGTCAGGACATCCACATCGGTGTTTCGATTGAGCAATGAATGGTAGTGCTCTTTCCAGCGCTGAAGGAGGCCTTCATCGTCATTTATTATGAAGTTGCCTTCAGATGAGCGAAGGGGGGATGCGCCACGAGTGGTTGGCCCATAAAATGTTTTAATGGAATTTAAAAATTCGCGCATCTTGTGCTGATCCACTTTAGGTATAATTTTACTACAGTATGATAGTCAACGACCTTTATGTGAAACAGACCAAACTTGACCTTATATGAACTAATTTCCACTAAGATATAGCAATAAAAACGAAAATGTATCCCTATTCGAAAAAAAACTCAGTTGTTTTTCAAAGCTTAATAGGCAATTATCCCAAATTAGTGTATATAAACATCGGACAAACAAGTCAATAAAATGATTGAACTATATATAGACGCGTCATTCATCCGTCCAGACACCTCAACGTGCGGCCTCCGATTGGTCCGCCCCTTCTGCCCACTCATGGTCGCCCCTGGAGCCAACTTTGACCAGCTGATCAATCCCTCTCCATTGGCAGTGGGATTTGCAATACTAATGTGTTCGGCCTTTAGCACTTTCTTCATCCGTTTCTATGTTAGAAAGGGAAGGGAAGGAATGGGAGGGGAGGGAGAGAAGAAGAGAAGGTTAGGTTAAGTTAGATGCGCTGGTCGGTAGGTGTTGGAGCGGTCATATTTACCTCAAGTTTACGAGAGAGAATAACAATAGAAACATGAACTACGAGCAACACACAACAGCTGCTAGCAACACAACCCGAATCTATAACAAATAAAGAACACCTTACATCAACACAATAATTATACGAGGTCTTACGATATATGTCTGTTCTATTTACATAACTTGATATATAAATTAATGGATCACTAATGCCCTATATATTATTGACTATAACATATATGTATGAATTAAGTCAAATATTTATCAATTCTATACATATATCACTAATATATACTTCATCAATATAGTTTATACATATATGAGATATATTCAATGTGTATGAATATAATATTAATCCTAAAATATAGAAATATATCAATGAAAGAAAATTGACTTTGTATAATCGACTATAAGCACAAGTATTGGTTCTGATTATAGAGGTATAACATAAAATTTATAGTTATGGATGTTTATTATTGTTTTTGTTTCCTTGGTTTTTGAGACGTGTTGAATCACCTAATATGAAATAAAACAACAGCACCGACAACAACAACAATAACAACAACACCAACAGCAATAACACCACCACCACCAACAACAACAACAATAACAGAGAGAGAGAGAGAGAGAGAGAATGAGTGTATGTATATATGTATGTATGTATGTAATATATGTATGTATGTATGTGATATATGTATGTACTGTATGTATGTATGTAGTGTGGTATCCAAGGACCAATAAGCCAGGAGAGATCAATTGAGAGAAATGACTAACCATGCGTATGATCACCACTCAATACCTGTCCACACGCCACACCTGTCCACACGCCATCTGTCCACAAGCTACCTGTCCACACGCCACCTGTCCACAAGCCACCTGTCCACACGCCACCTGTCACACACGCCACCTGTCACACACGCCATCCACACGCCACACCTGTCCACACGCCATCTGTCCACAAGCTACCTGTCCACACGCCACCTGTCCACAAGCCACCTGTCCACACGCCACCTGTCACACACGCCACCTGTCACACACGCCAAAGGTTGATGGCTCAGGACACTTTGCTACGAATATTACTCTAGGCTCTATATATCTCCATTACTCTTCTATAAACACCTCTACTGAAACTATTGTGATATAGATGTGATACAGATGTGATATAGAAACTATTGATGGTCTTTGTATTAGTGTATTTGCTGTCGTCTATTGTGTTTTAAATGTCGTAAGTGTGATGCATTAAGTCCAGCCAGTTGAGCTATAAATTATTTTCAGGGGTCTTTAAAGGCCTTTGTTGGAGACTCATGGTCAATAAATATAGCTTTTCCCGTTTATGTTGTTGTAAATGTCTTTGTTGTGCTAGTAATGCTTATGTTGTGCTAGTAATGCTTATGTTGTGCTAGTAATGCTTATGTTGTAGTCTGTTGTGCTAGGAATGCTTTCTGTTGTAGTCTGTTGTGCTAGTAATGCTTTCTGTTGTAGTCTGTTGTGCTAGGAATGCTTTCTGTTGTAGTCTGTTGTGCTAGTAATGCTTTCTGTTGTAGTCTGTTGTGCTAGGAATGCTTTCTGTTGTAGTCTGTTGTCCTAGGAATGCTTTCTGTTGTAGTCTGTTGTGCTAGTTATGCTTTCTGTTGTAGTCTGTTGTGCTAGTAATGCTTATGTTGTGCTAGGAATGCTTTCTGTTGTAGTCTGTTGTGCTAGGAATGCTTTCTGTTGTAGTCTGTTGTGCTAGTAATGCTTTCTGTTGTAGTCTGTTGTGGTCTGTTATTACTTTAGCAATGCTTATGTTGTAGTCTGTTGTGCTAGGAATACTTTCTGTTGTAGTCTGTTATTGCTAGTAATGCTTTCCTATTGTAGTCTGTTGTGCTAGTAATGCTTATGTTGTGCTAGTAATGCTTTCTGTTGTAGTCTGTTGTGCTAGTAATGCTTATGTTGAAGTCTGTTGTGCTAGTAATGCTTATGTTGTGCTAGGAATGCTTTCTGTTGTAGTCTGTTGTGCTAGGAATGCTTTCTGTTGTAGTCTGTTGTGCTAGGAATGCTTTCTGTTGTAG